AATAAACTGCACACTTCCCTCCGAAGAGGGCATTTCATGTGCGAGGTGAATTGGGCAACTGCTGTAGCGTGCCACTTTCTCCGGGGAGACGGGCAAGAGAATCGTAATTTGCCGCTCCGCCCGCGCGGCGATGGCGGCGTTTTCTTAACTCGTGTTAACCTGTCGATTGGAGCACCGGACTTCATGTAGACCCCGTCATCGTAGACATTCATGACTATTTCGGTTCTGAATTGCCTGTTGTCGCCATCTACTACCTGGAACCATCGTCATTTGCTCGCGCGACGTCGCACGCGGCGCCCAAGAGCGCGGCGAATTACGATTCTATTGCCACATACCCCCTTCTCCGACCAAAAGTGTACGGAAACGGGGCTACGGGATTGTAGTACCCGGGTGTTTTCACGATAATCCACCCGTGCTATCTCAATGTGCAGCATTTACGTCGATCCCAGGTGCAGCGTATCACGCATTCACCGCTAGAGTTGACCTCGAGTGAGAAGGCATAGAGCGTTTGGGTTCGGTTGGGCGCGTGGCTGGCCGTGCGGCTGCGTGGACGGAGTATGGAGACAAGGGCACTTACTATTGCTGAGGGAAATTTTTGCAATGTAAGGCTCCTCAAATTTCGTCTTCTGTTACAACCCCTTCCCCATGCTATCTCCATCTTCCCGAGTTCTCTCAGCTTTCATCTTTTTTCCATTTCCCTCAAAACTCGTGCAAGGAGGAGAGGGGTCGCCACTAAACAACTACTAAATTTAGCTATTGATAGCAGTAGCTGTATGGTAGTCCTTCAGCGCCGCCAACTACAGGAGGATTGGGGAATTTCCTCGCGTACGAAAGAATTTTCTCGAGGTCAGATACGTTGAGCAAATACGAACCTCTCGGAGCGACGAGCTAAGCACGTACCACTTCCTTGTGTGGGTCTCCTAACATTGTGGATAGTCCTTGTGAATCAGGAACAATAACCCGTCAAAAGAAAAAAAACTATCTCCGACGGAATACCACCCCTCTTCCTCCAGCGTCCAAGTAGGACCCGCTGCTGGGGATTCCTCAGATTACGACGTGTCGACGGGTCCTGATGAAAACGACACCGGGGTATCACAACCATCTAGCCCTGTTCCAGTGCACTTTTCAGCCGAAAAAATGGTAGGCTTCTGCAGCTGCGGACCCGTTCATACGTGGCGCCGGTTATCACCTCAGGCCTGTTTTTCCCAGGTCAACAAAGATTTCCATTCTATCGGGATCGATCAACTTGAAGCAGATTTGTGGACGAGTTTGAAAACTGTGACTTGTTCTTGAAGTGGCCACGGAGTTTATTTATATACGCGAATCGCACTTGAAGTATATACGCTTTTGAATGGTGGTGAAATGCGCGGCGTATTCCCGAAAAGAATTGATCTATATGGGAAACCTTGTTTTTCATTCCTTCTAATAAAGTCAACGATAGCGCATACTTTGCAACTCGAAAAGATGGCGTCCAAGACATTGCATTTCATCTGCTGGGGACATCGTTTGAACTTGGGGATGTTCTGGGTTTTTGAATTTTTAATCGAGCCTTTGTTTGATGGGATCAGGGTCCGTTTGGGGATCCCCATCGACGGGG